AGTTTGGGATTGGGCGCACTCAAGAGAATTTCAACTCCTGTCACTGGTATTGGAGAAAATGTATAGTTATATATTGGTTCAGATTTTTTCTTCCATGGAAGAGCATTGTCTGTTGTGACAGTCCTTCCCTGTGAGGATTCTTGCTGGTATTTTGTCTCTTGGAAGGAAGTGAAGGAAGGAAACTTGTTTCACTCAGAGGATGGTATTTTCACAGTATAATTAACTGTTTCAACTTCAGTTAGTTACTTCAACAGAATGAAAGGCTGGGGAAGACATTCCCATCATTATTAAATTCTAAACAGGTGTACCTTCTGAGGGTTTTTAAAGCCTCAGCAGACAAATTACATAGTAGGATTCTCCTGCAGAGAAGGACTTGGGGATACCGGTGGAAGAAAAGCTGGGATGAAGTCAGCAATGTGTATTTGCATTCCAGAAAGTCAACCGGATCCCAGACTACATCAAAAGAAGGGTGGCCAGCATGTCAAGGGAGGCAATTCTGCCCCTCTATTACAGTCCCATGAGTTCCAACCTAGAGTATTGTGTTCAGATCTGGAGTCCTCAGCACAGGAAACATATGGATCTGTTGGAGCAAGTCCAGAGGAGGACAATGAAAATGATCGATGAGACAGAACACCTCCCCTATGGAGACAGGCTGGGAGAGTCAGAGTTGTTCATCCTGGAGAAGATAAAGCTCTGGGCAGACCTTATATCAGCCTTTCAGTACTTAAAGGGAACTCATAAGAAGGATAGGGACAAACTTTTTGCAAGGCCTGTAGTGATAGGACAAGGAATAACAGTTTTAAACTCAAAGAGTTCAAAGGTTCAGACTAGAAGAAATTATTTAGTTTGAGAGTGGTGAGACATTGGAGCAGGTTGCCCAGGGAAGTGTTGAGAGACCTTACAGGAGCCTTCCAGTACTTGAAAGGAGCCTACAGGAAAGATGAGGAGTGGTTTTTCATCAGAGAAGATAGTAATAGGACAGGAAGTAATGGTTTTAAACTGAGAGTGTGGAGATTTAGGTTAGATATTAGGAAAAAATTCTTCACTATAAAGGTGGTGAAGAACTGGAATGCGTTGTGCAAGGAGGTTGGTGATTCCCCATCCCTGAAGGTTTTTGAGGCCAGGTTGGACGAGGTTTTGTGCAACCTGGTCTAGTGGTAGGATTCTTTGCTTATGACAGGAGCGTTGGAACTTGATGATCTTTAAGGTCCTTTCCAACCTTAATGATTCTATGATTCTAACATTAAGGGCTGCTCATACTAGAGAACAAAAAAATGACAAATGCTGAATTTTTTATCATCTTTTTTTGTTTACTGTATAAATGGACTACGTATTTTCATTTTTATTTCAGTAGTGGCCAAATCATGCAGTAGATTACTCCTCCATTTAATACAGCTGAGCCACTGCACAACAGTTTATCAGACTGTTTAGTGCTTTTTCTTCCTTTCAGCCTAGTCTTCTGCCACTTTGGCAAACACTTTCTGCTTTCTTTTTGATTCATTTCTCCTGCTAAACCTTAGAAGGGGCTGAGACCATCATGAGAGTATGAATATGGAAGAAAGCAGGAGGTTTGGAATTCTGTAAGCTTATGCTTATCTCTGCAGGAAGTATCTCTTTCCTTACTCTTCCTAATCTAACGCTCTAGGAGCAGCATACTCTGGTAACAGTTAAATACATCTTTAATAGTCAGCTTTCAAACTAAGTGCTCATTCCATTTAAGCTCTTATGTGTTACTTATGTGAAACATATGGTACCTGATGATTCCTTATACAAAGCTTATACTCCTGCCCCTTTGCTTTTTAGCAAATCAGGTAGAACAACATAATGCAGGTGGCTGTACTGATAATGATTTTACCCTTCTACATGGGGCTGCTAAATCTGTTTGAAGTAAGTTTGCTCACTACCATCTGTGCAGGCAGGGATCTTGTTTACTTATGAATGCAAGGTCATGTAAAATTCAAAGCAAAACCACACCTAGAATGTGAGAATAAGTGCCACAGACCTGAAGGGAAGAGGAGTAAAATTTACATTATTTCACCCTGAACATGAAGTAATCCTTGGTTTTAGTGGGGTTTTTTTAGTGTTTTAACCAGTGTAAATTCGTTACAAAGATGCAGTCACAGAAATGTGAACCTTAGCTAATGTAGGTAATGAAAATTCTTCATTTCATTATGATGTACTAAAGGCAGTGAAATGATGCTGGGGTGAAATACAGTGAGGCAGAGCAAAAACTAGAATTTCTGTCTCATTTCATCTGAAGTTAGGTGACTATAAACCCTGAACGATAGCCACTGAAGTGCCTGTGATGAACTGCTTTACATTTTCTTTTATAAATCCTCCTCATTTATGGCCTTTTTTAGTCAGAACCGGTCATCTGTAGTCTGAAATACTTTGCATAGAATACTGGATATGAATGGGACTAATTCTATACAATCATTTTTTACTGCAAATGATATGAGGCTTGGACTTTGTGGTGTACACAGGCAAAGATGACAGAAAACCTGGTTTGGAATTCTGCATGGTTAGCATTGTCCTCATCTTATTCTGCTCTCCAGAAGTCCTTCTCCAGACCTGGAGCAGTGATAGGAGAGCTGACTGGTGGGTGACAGCTGAGGACCACTTCCCCTGCAAAGACAGGCTGGGAGAGTTCGGGTTGTTCAGCCTGGTTAAGAGAAGGCTTCAGAGGGACCTAACAGTGGCCTTCCAGTATCTGAAGGGACCCTACAGGAAATCTGGGTGGGAGTTATTGCAAAAGCATGTAGTGATAGGACAAGGGGTAATGGATTCAAAATTGAGGAAGGGAGATTTACATTAGACATTAGGAGGAAATTCTTCACCATGAGGGTGGTGTGACAGTGAAACAGGTTGCCCAGGGAAGTTGTGGAAGCCCCATTCATGGAAATGTTCAAGGCCATCTTGGATGGGGCTCTGACCAACCTGATCTAATGGGAAGTGTCCCTGCCCATGCAGGGGACTTGGAACTAGATAATACTTACAGTTCCTTCCAACTCAAAGCATTCTATGATTCTATGATTCTGTCATATGTTCTCTTCCCTCCTGATGACTTGTGGCATGAGAACGGATCCTGAACTGCATGAGTGACTGAGAAAAGGGAGATTACCGTGTAGCCAGTAACACCCCTGGCATCGGCTCATGACACTGGTACTCATAGGAGGTGGGGAAAATGAGAAAGTCATAATAGTATCCTTTGTGCAATGACATTTTCTGGCAGGAAAGATCTTTCTCAAATCTTCAATGGCTTGAGTTCACATTCTGGCAGAGAGTTAGGGGCTGACAGTAAAGGAGGAAAAGACACCTTCTTATTTATAATAATCTAAGGTCCCTACTGGTTTTCCATTAAAAGTTTCAAAAACTATAGTATTCTCTGGAATTTATTGTAGCATTAGTGGTGTGCAATATTTCAAAACAATCACCATGAAGCTTATTCTACAGTGCGGTTTCAGGTTTGAGGTTTCCTGCAATCCCCTTTATTACATGGTAGAGTAATTTCTTCTTTGTCCTGTTCCCTGCCCCATGAGTTATTGTCTTTTATCCTGATTTTCTTTTCTCTTTTCTTCTCCTAGGTGTTATAGCAGTCCTGATATTCATCCTACTTTGCATTGCTGCCATAGCCACACATATTTGTAAGAAGAAAGGCATATACTCAAAAAATGAGGCAAAAGCATCTGAAAATGAAGACAGTGCTGAATCTGCACTGAAAAGTGAGCCCAGCATGCAAAACACAGCCAATGAAAATCAAAAGGAATACTTCTTCTGATTTGCATTAATGATTTAGTGTCATAATTGGCAGTCTGACATTCTTGCTAAGCCAGGGGCTCTCAATGAACAAAAAAAGCTCATAAACTCAACAGTAAATGCAACATATTTGAGACTTATTATACTGTATATGTTCAGTCTCAGTGATTGCTATAGAGAACATCTTAAAAAAATTACATACATTCCTTCACCATTTTACCGTAAACGCATTTCATGTAACAGTGAATTAGATATTGTAACCAATTTCATTGCTAGTAGTTTCTGACTGTTCTAATGTGATCTTCTGCAACTAAAGTTTAACAAACTTACTGAATATTATTTTTGAATGGGAAAACGGTTATGCATTTATTTCCATATTTTCTTTAAAATTTTATCTTGGGATTTTGTTCAAGGTGAATGATGAATTCTAATACTTTGTGTTACTAAAGAAATTCTGCTGTGTTGCATTTTAATGATCCCTCTTACTTCCTCAAACTGAAAATGCCTTTTGAACGGCTGTTGGCTGATGTCAGCATCTCCTTGTGGACCAAAGAGTTTGGTGTACAAAACAAGCTGTATTTCTTTCCCTCAGGATGTGACCAATATCATCACTATCCCTTGTTTTTGCCAAACCTAGCAGGACTTAACAGTGAAGGGTGTACAATGTGTTGGAATGCTGCAAAATCTTTTTTGCACTACTTTTTCACTTATGGTCAAATGAGGGCACCAAGTTAGACTCATGCATGTTCTAGGCATTTGAAATAATATTGGGATCACAAAAGGCAAGAAGCTTGCTTGGAAACATTGAGTAATATAATAAGAGCAGTTACATTATCATGAGAAAAAACACCACAAAATTATTTAATAAAAAAAAAAAAAATGATTCCTGGAATTTACTAATGCTCCATATGTCACGAATCAAGACTTAATGTTCTGTGCACATTCTGAGACATATTCTCCTGAAACATCGTATGCTGCTCCAGACTTCAAGATTAAGTTGTTATAAATTATTGAAGTTATTTTTTATTATTGTGATAATAGAAGTAGGGCGTAGTACAGTGGCTGATACCTGAATACTTTTGTTCTTTACCCGTAATAGTATCTACTATGCATCTGCAAGATAAGTTCTGATTATACCCCTCAAAATTAAACAGGTGTTTACTATCCTGATAAAGTAAATGTCTGCTCTTTATGAAGTTATATACACAAATTATCAGACATGAAGGGTAGGTTTAAGTTGTCTAAAGATTGTAAGGTAATTTTAGATGCCACAGGATATCTGAAATATCCATGTGGCCTGGTGAGAATGTTGCAATTTCTGCAAAAAGTAGGTGTCTTTTGGAAGAGACAGCTGGAAATCAATTAGAATAGCCCAAGGCATCAAAAAATGGCACTAGATATGATTATTTAGGTAAATGATTCACAAAGGATTTTTTGGTGGTGGTGGCTTGAGTTCCATCCTGGCAGAGAGTTAGGGGCTGACAGTAAAGAAGGAAAAGACACACTTACTTGTTGGTGCTAGTGGGTTTTGTTGTTTGTTTGTTTTTTTTTTCACAGGCAGAAAACTGTGGCTAGAGCTTGGGTTTCAGAAAAAAAATAAATCAGGAATACTGTGTCCTTGTAGACTTGAGTTTAAAATGTAAACATCTTTCAGAAATGATTTGTATCTGTTTTCATTATAAGCATTGATAACAGTAATTGTTTTTCTCCTCTTTCAGTAAGGAGAATCAAAGCTAGCTCCTGGACTGTCAAGTTTAGAAAATGTTTATCACAGATGCCTGAGAACATGGAAACCTGATACTGTGTGCCAAAATTTTCAATATCTAAAATTCTTTGCATAAATTGTAGTGTAAATATAAATGTCCAGCAGGTATATCTTCAAAATTTTATTTTCTTCCATCACTCTTTCTGTTTTCAGAATTCTACAGTTCCTTTTCTTCTTCCTCCTATACAGCTTTGTTAAATTTTTAGGAACAAAGCATTTTCTTTATTTTGGTACCTGAAGACACTGCAGAGATTTTTCCAATTAAGATACATGGAGTGCTTGTTTTTCTCATATTACTGTTCTTTGTGAATCTCTCTGGTAAATTAATAAGGCTGAGGACTCGGGATCAAGAACTAGGTTTCTATGTTGTATGTGTTAGTGTATTCACTGATACAGTTTGGTCTGTGACAATAGGTCATCTTTAGAAAGGACAGAAAAATGATTTGGGAATGATATTGGACTATTCCTGATAAGTGCTGCAGATGAAAATGCCATCTTTGTGGATAGGTAGTGGAGGAGATGAAAGCCTCACATGGGTCTTGAGAACAAGACCTTGAATTTTTACACTAGCTCCTTTGGACCCTCTAAGTCTATCTAGTTATTTTAAAATTAATATTAGGACTAATCCTTTTCAACCATCTGAGCTAAATTGCATTGAATTCAAGAGAAGTCATTCCACAGACTTCTCTGTAACTGAAATCCTCTGAGTGAAAATATATATCTGCAGATTTGTAGCATACAATAATTACATCTCTCTGAAGATGTAAATGCCCATTTCCACCTGTAGGAATAGTGACCTGTGTCTCAAGAGGCTTTCCTTTCTCATGATAGATGTGTCAATGTCCATTCTTTTGTGTCACTTAAATCAACACACCTATTGACAGTTACGAGTGCCTGTCAACTCCATTTTAATCAACATGAGGTGTAGTAACCATGTGGGACAAAACTTCTTTATGATATATTAGATTGCCAAAACAGATATTTTGATTGAATCATAAAAGAGAGATTATCCCTGTGACAGTTACCCATATACTAACCTGACAAAACCTAAAGAATACTCACACCAGGACACCTTGGAAGTATTTAAATATAACTTTTCAATCACTTGTTTTTACTTGTATTTCTTTGTCAGTTTTCCTTATGGAATTTTCTTTCCTTGATGGAAAGAAAAATCTCTTGCATTACTTTCTTTTATTCCAAATAAATAATTATTTTCTTTCTCTATTTATTAGAATTTTTAAAAGAAAAAGGAAGGAAAAACTTGAGTAAACTCCTTATTTCACTGGCCAATTGAAGAAGAGAGGGCCAGGGGTAAACACCTGTGTTAATGACATGTTATTTCATTCAAAGACCTTTTAAAGGCATTTTATTATAGGAAAGATTCTAAGGAGAAAAACAGAAATTGATTTTATTGAATGCACATTTATCTGCAAATTTGTTGCATAAAAATATTTATATCTCTGATGATGCAAGTGCCCATTTTCACCTGTTGGAATAGTGACCATATATTCATCAACCGAATTGGAAATACACAGATCCATAGTCAATGAAGCAGCCTTTTCCATTATTTACTGCATTTCCATCAGTATAAAAATATGGTGTCACTGGAGTGCACTGAGATACCATACACCACTGTGCTGTCCTATTATTGATTCTCTATTCCAATGTGTGACTTTTCCCCTCTCTGTCAATAAACACTTTTTGAAATAAAGTGAGGAAAATATTTTATTAAAAATTTGTATTAAAATGTTTTAAACTGACAACAATATATTGTTGGGTTTTTTTAACAGTGCAACTATATAGAAGTGCACATAATATATTGGTGAATGTGGCTATTTATAGATATTACTGAGTCCTAATGTAACAAATTTAGAATACACTGACACATTTTCCATGGCAAATACATTTTTACCTAAGTACATTAGAAAATAAATAGTAGCATGTAAGCTGGTACATTTTAAAAATATTGGGTGGGCACTGATTACAAAGGGCCTATAATTATTTATACACTCAACATTACCACATAAATATGATCTAGTTAGGTCTGGGGAAAATATTTTGCAATATATCCACTCTTGTGTGGATGAAGAATATGCAATCAGCTAAGTACACAAATTAAAACATAATGTACTAAAATAAAAAATAAATTTACAGCACCACTATTCACAGCATTGCCATACAAAGAAAAAAACACGTAAATGACAAATCAGACAAAATTCCTATGAAGAATCAGCTGTGTAGATTAGAGTCCACAGATTTTAATTTAGAGGCCAAAAATCCTGCAGCACCACTGTGAGATAAAAACGGAAGACGCACTATTGAGGGTCACTAGAGGACTGATAGGAAAGTATCCTTTAGAAATACTCTGAGAAGTAATTACAACTGTTTGCACATGAGGCAGAGTTGTAGCTATACAAGCCATGCGACATCACACTGGAAGAATGATAAAAGAAAAAGATACTTGCTAAATCAAAAAACTTAATGCATGTGCTCTAGTCCCTGGGGTGCAATGCACATTCTCTGGAGTGAGAATGCAGAAATGTAGCATAATTTTATCGGATTGAGCTCCTAATTCTGCAGCCAATTGTATAATGGATCCATAGTGTTTCTGATAATAACAAGATTGTGCATTATCATGACAGAAGAAAAAGAAAAAACCTACAGGCATTAGAGCTGAATAAAAAGCTACAAGTATGAAGGCACTGAAGTAGTTTTGGTGCTTTTTTTTTTTTTTTTTTTTTTTTCCAAGTACATTTGCTTAAAAGAATAAGGAAAAGAAAGGAACTTCCCTCTAAATTTACTCTTTCAGAACTTTCTCTTTTGGTGCTTTTTGGTGGTGATGGGAAAGATGGGTAATGGGCTTGTGTGTAGAAAGGACTAAATCTGCAGATATGAGAAACAGAAACAACAAAGCAAATTTGTTTATAGAATATGCTACTTTAAGAAGCCATGATCATCCATATTCTTCAAAGGCTTTCTGAGAAGTTTTGTTTTTTTGCAAGAACTGGCACTGTTCTATGGATACGTTGTCCAAACCTCTTAATCTTTGCTCTTACTATTGTTAAGAATGGAATCAAACATCACAACTGCATTGCAGAGGGAGATGGATGCCTTTCCTTCAAATACTGACATAAAATCTCATTCAATATAATATAAATTTCTAACTTCCATCTGTGATGAAGTACTGATGTTGCTAAAATAAATAACACTGAATAAATAATGCCTTAAAACCCTTAAAAACAGCACGTAAAAACCTC